CTCTGGCAACATTTGCTATCCCATTTGACCCATCTTCCTACAGGACTACTGCCTCTCTAGCTGGTCTCTCTGTGCTAGTCTAGCCTTCCCTGTGGGTCAAGAGCCCCCACCTGAGGGACCTGTGTCCTCTCTGCTCCACACAGCCCCAACCACACGGCTGGTACACAGTACCTAATGGACAACACTTTAGATTGCTAAGATTTTTAACTATTTTATTTGAAGAGATTTTCTTCTACGGTTCTAGTTACAAACACAGAACAGATGCTATTTGAGTGAGGGCATCAGAGGCATCATTGTATTTGAACGAATCATATCATAGTGTTTACATTTTAAGCCATACTTGAAGACACAATACAACCTTTTTAACAAAGTGTCAATCATAACAAAACATAATTGTTAATTCTACAGATTATCCACTCTTCTAAAATAACCACTACTATGAAAACATTGTAGAGACATCTAAAGAACCCCATTAAGATTTTTCTTAGAAAAATGACACAATAAAAATTACATTTTCCTTTTCTTTACTAGGAACAAACTGTGACATCCATTTGAGAAAGCAGCAGCCAACCCTGCCAAAATCCTCTCAGCGGCCTTTTGCTCCTCAAAATTGACCATCTTTTACATTTAATGTGTTCTAGAGGAATGATAAAAATGGTTATGTCAAGTGCAGAAGTTAGCATTATGTCCATTGGTATGTATTTTATACCGTGTTCCTAAATTAACATAAGAGAATGAAAAACAGCAAATATTCTTACATGAATGAAACATAAGGACAGAAAACCACCCTTTGATAAGTGATCACACAGGTAGCATCAACCGACTTTCCGTCAGGACCAGTGTCTTAATGACCATTTAGTAATGCTTTTTATGGAAGTGTTTTAAAGGCATAGGTACAAGCACACATGTGAAGAGCTCCCCTCTCCCCCAATACTCACTTCCCTGACTTTGCTCCCCCCGCTCAAGGGATTGAGCTGTTGAGCCCTTAGCCACATAAGCTGTGTGCCTAGTAATTATCTTTAAAGCAGATGACATTTTTTTTTTGAAAAATGAAGTACAGAGAAGACTATGAAAGGTAGTGAGAAAAAAAAGCAAACCCTTAGAACTTAGGTTGTGACGTTCAAATTTAGAGAAAAGCTGGTTCATAAGAATTGTTAGATCATGAAGCAGTGGCTAGACGAGAGGCAGCCAGGCCACAGAGCCCCAGTATGCCTGACAAAGGTGGGCATCTTAGAGGACATGGGTTACAATGATATGGCAAACATTTTCACAAGGCTGTAAGCTCTCCAGGTCACAGGACGGGACTCATTTACTTCTTTATCCCTAGTTCTTAATATTGTCCTGCACACAACAGACTTTCAGTATTTCTGGGAACCAGGGAATGGAGCTGAATCAGCTCAGTGCTTTCAAAGCCTTTCTTGGGGGGCGCCTGGGTGGCTCAGTGGGTTAAGCCTCTGCCTTCAGCTCAGGTCATGATCTCAGGGTCCTGGGATCAAGCCCCACATTAGGCTCTCTGCTCAGCGAGGAGCCTGCTTCCTCCTCTCTCTCTCTGCTTCTCTGCCTACTTGTGATCCCTCTCTGTCAAATAAATAAATAAAATAAAATTTTAAAAAAGCCAATCTGGATGGTATCTACTCACTATTTCATTCACTCCTCTAAGGCAGGATGAGAAAGAGACTTCATTCATCTCACTCTGATGGCTGGGCAATGGATGCCAGGCAGCTCTGATGACATGGACTGTGAGACCAATTCCTGGCACAGAGGAAGGGAGTGCTACTGATTCATGATGCCACCATCAGAGAACGGTGGCACAGACGTTATATATTCCCCAGCCCTGGTCAAGGAAAAGGCATCCAACAACTCACCCATGTTCCCTTCTGTCACTATGCTGCCTCACGAGTGCTCTGCATTAAGCCACTGCTCATTAGACGCTGGTTGATCAAGAAGGCCAAGGCCTTTCCACTCGATTTACCTGTGCGGCCAAATAAGTAGGGTCATGACTTTACCTGGAAATCTGAAAACATGGCATCCACAATGCTCATTAAGTAATTCTTTACTGAAAGAAAACAAGTATTTCCTTCTAATTCCCTTTGGAGAGAAAGAGCTTTGTCCATCTCAGTACAACTTTAACTGACATCTAAGGCGTTTGGAATTACTTGTGATTTTGGTTCAAGAAAACATGGCCGAGCTCAATTCTCTTTGGTATTCATGCTTAATCTTAATCTATTTGTTTCTTAATAGAATCCAAAACCTTCTCAGTACTTCATTGTTATGACTTAACCCACACTGTTGAAACAATCAACTCCTACTCTTTCATCAGAAAAACTTCCAAGGATGCTAAGGGGAGAGGCCTCTGAAACCAAGAATGTTAAGAAGAAAGCCAGAAAGAATGACAGGGAGAACCAACCTCCCTCTGCCACCCAGACCATTCTCCATAAAATGGGTTTCTTCTGGCGAGGTGGCTCCCAATAGCAGGGGTCCTCCCGCTAACTCTCCTCCCCACCGTGGAAGGTTGGCACCCCTCAGAAGCATGTCAGAAAAGAAGGAAGAAGCATTTAGAGAAAGGAAGAAAACAGAAGAGTATTATCAAAGAGTACTACATTGTACACCTGAAACTAATATAACACTGTATGTTAACTATACTAGAATTAAAATAAACACTTAATTAAAAAAAAAAAAAAAGCAAAGTCCTGGGGGATGACAGGGACTTTTCAAAACAACATTCCCTCATCATAGGTAGAGTCTTCACTACAACATGGGCACCAATGTGAGAATAGAGCTAAATTAAAATTATCCTTAAAATGCCAACATAGCTGATGTGCACAGCAGGAAGAATGATGACCCAAATCCACAGATCAGTTCCTATTACACATTCCTCCTCGCCCAAGTACAGCTGGCAGTCCAGAGTGACAAAAACATTGTTAGATGTCTGGGTATCTTAGAGCAATATGCCAGGACGTGCATGCACACACACACACACACACACACACACACACACAATATGCACATACATATTAAACCTGGTTTATAAAAAGAGCTTTGTGGATCAGAGTATGCCTTCACTTGGTCCAAGAATCTAATTGTTGGCATGAGGGAAACAGACCCTAAGAATGTAACCAGGAAGAGAACTGGTTGGCAGCAATAATATTACATTTAAATGATATGGTTATTTACAAGCTAAGGTCTAATTGTCCAGAACTAATTCAACTGGCTAGACTCTTCAGAATATACAACGTGAAGCTTTAAAAAAGTTAAGATCTGTAGCAACAAAAGTTAACACTATCTAAAATAAATTAGATTTTTAAATATATGCAATGAAATTATAGGTCACTGGAAATTCAATTCCATAATGAATATAAATTAATATAAATCTATTATTAAAGTATCATCCCCAAGAAGACTTCAGTTCAGATAAAAAAAAAAAAAAGGCTGAGTATTTGAGAATAAATGGGTATGGCTTAGAAACCCTTAAGTAATGTAAGTAGAGTACTGATATGATTATTTGGTGACAAGATCCAAGAACTGTTCCTAGGTCCACAATGAAGGCTTGCCTCAATTTACTTAATAGAAGTATTCCTAAAAAGTTGTGCAAATAGAATTTTTACAACCAGACCCTGATTTTCACTCTGCTTGCAGGCCATGGTTGTCAAGAAACCCTGTAGTGACCTTGTGAGAACCTGGGGAGCTCTGCCAAAGTGACCATCCCTCTGCACCATGTCCGCAGGGTGAATGCCTACCCGAGGCGCTGGGTAACCTCGCAGAACACATGGATTTGCCATGACAGTTTTTTTGTTTTTCTGCGGGACGTTCTTAAAGTGAGGTGTGCCGTAACTGGAATGTTAGAGCAGAAGGATAGACTCCAGCTCCCAGCTTCACCATCCTATTACAAAAGATCAGAGACGCTCAGAAAGAATAACATTTCTATAAGTATATATATTTTTTAAAGGGAGGGAGCTATGACTGGCAGAAACTTTATATTCGTGTTAGCTGACTTACTGACAACTGCTGGAGCTGGGCTCCATCTGACTCAACCACCAAGGCAAGTGGAGAAACTTCCCGAATTTCAGAGATACCACCAGAGGCCATTCCTCTTCCACAAGAGTTTCTTCCCTCTCCAGCAGCAAAGTCCCACAGCTATCCTCACCTTCCCTCATAAAAGCAAAGGGTGAATTTAAAGGCTAAGGTTAAATTAGAAAGATGTCTGATCTAAAGATGATGAACTTATCTTTCTTATCTTAAAAACAGAACTAAGTCAAAGACATTCATCAAAAGTAACTCTTAAAGGCAATTTTTTTTTTTTCTTATTTGGTCTTCCCTTCCCATTTAAGACTTGATTTCAAAAAAAAAAAAAAAAAAAAATATATATATATATATATATATATATATATCCATCCTTCTAAACAATATATCCTCTCTTTTAAACAATACAGAATGCCTAGCAATGCAACTTATCTGAACACATAAATTTGTAATCTGCCACCTAAATGAAATAAGAGGTTACACCTGTCTGTCTATTCAGTACACATAATTGCAAAAACGTTTGGGAAAATAGCTGAGAAGGTTTTTAAGAAAGGTTCTGGGAGGACTGGAAGCTTGTAAGGACTCACTCTAGGGCTCCATCATGGTAAGTTTCCTGGAAAGTAGTGTGCAAATAAACACAGAACCCTATTTTTAAACCACTGGAAGTATATGTGGGTATGAATAGGGGAGAAAAGCAGTGAATGACAGTGTTAATATAAATGTATCTCAAGTAAATGAAAAATCTCTCACTTAAGGTATTAATGATATTTCAAGTGACCTAAATAAAACGGATTTTAAAATTATCTTTACCATTCACGTCAACTATTGACTTTGGTCCTTTACTAAAGCAGACACAATGAATCTTCTTTTTGTTGATCAGTTTCAGTCACTGGCCCAAGGGTACCATATTTGATGAAAATAGTATCATGGATTTGATCCCATCATTTAAAAATCAATAATTAAAAAAATAACAAAGTTGGTCTCTTTTCTCCACAAGTTTTCAAGTAATTAGTTCAAGTAAGCTTATTTACAGCTATTGTACATGTGACCTACTTTAACCCACTTTTTCCCTTTGGAAATTAGCCTCCCTTGAAATGGAACACTACTTTTTTCTTTTTTTTCTTTTTCTGCCTTGAACCAGGTTTCTTTTAAATCCTAAATTGGTTCAGTCATGTTTCTGCTTTATTGGGCAGATAAAGAGAGGAAACCAGCAAGTTGTGTCCAAAGGCCGGGAAACGCCTGAATGCTTCCCAACTATCTGAGAAGATGTTGTACTTAAGAAAAACTCGATGTTCCAAGCTGGTGGACAGGGTCACGTCTCTGCTCATGATGTAGATGCCATCGTTGTGGAGCGCGCAAGTCAAGTTAAGCCCCGATTTGGACGTGTTCTCCTTGAGGTAGAGCCACTGACGCGTGACGGTGTTGTAGGACTGCACCGTGAGCATGTCCTCGCTCTGGCTGCTCCTCCGGTTGGGCCCCAGCTCGTGCAGACAGCCGCCCACGATGTAGATGGTCTCCTCAACAGACACCATCTGCTGCTTGCGAATGTGGACATCACAGGTTTCAAACAGTGTCCAGATGTCGGCCGAGGGGCAATACTGCAAAATGTTCATGTTGCGATCTGAAAGGAAGAAAGAAGCCAAATGAGGACATGGCCGTGAGGAGCACCACTGCCCGCACACGCTGTGATAACATCTGCCCCCGCCTGGACCATCTGGTCAGAGGCAAAACAACTCCAGAGAAGCAGAGGTTGGGACAACAGTAATGGCTGGGAGATCATCTGCTTAGAACCAACCCCCTGGGGATGTCCCCTCCCTGGGAGGCTCTCAGAATCAAGAGGGCCAGGACACGGCCTGCTGTGATTGGAGCATTTTAGAACCACCAGTCCAATGTAAAAAGAATCAGAGCCTTGGAACTCTCCTCAATCGCTACAAATTACTGACTCTTAATATAGGTGACAGGCGGAGCCCCAAGGGATCTACTCTTGACAAGCGACTCTACTAAACAAGACAAGTGAGCCAAGCAAGATCTTCAGGGGTTAGTCTAAAGGAAACAACACACAACTGCAAGTCAGGAGAAACCCCAGAAATTCTCACTGTGGCCTTCAAGCCATAGAATCACTTGGCAATTCCATGTCCCAACTATAACAGCAGAGACATACTCACAAAGGCTCTTCCTCTCCCTGAAGCCTGCTTCCCCAAAGATGGCTGATTCTTGTGTGGATAAAATCAGAAAGTAGATCAAAGGCTACTCTAACATTATCTTGAATTCTCAGCTGCTTTAAGGAAAAATACTGCCTACTCTCTTTTTGAAAAATGCTTGTGAAATTTAAAATAACTAGTTTCATTTTTCTTTTTTTAATTGTTCTTTTTTATCCTCTTCTCCTTTAGGAAAGAATAAGTGGCATATTTTAGCCTCAGCAGAAAAAATGCTCTGAGTTATCAGAAAGAATGAACTTTCTCTTTGTTGTTGTTGTTTAAACAAACAACAAAATCCATCAGTGTAAGAGACAACTCAGCTCGGGAAGAGATGTGGAACTAAAGGGTACAACACTTCCTCCTGACACAGAGGGACCCACCCCCCAGTTAGCAAAGATGAAGGAGCTCCACCCCCACCTCTGGTATCAAGTCGAGGGCCTCTCAGAGGGCACAGAAAGAACGGAAAGGAGACTGAGCCCTGTGTGTGCACGTGTCCCCCCACCTGTAGAAATTTCAGAATTGCTACAGCTTTAGGAAATGGTCCCTCTCTTTTCCACCCACACTAATACCTCCTTGTATTTCTTTTTATTGTAGGTATTGTGAAGAAACTCATTCCAGAGACAGTCCAAGGGAGTTTGGTTCCACTGTATCAAAAGTGCTCCTTAGTAACCTGGCTTCCCACCGCATGAATAAAGGACTTATTTCTCCGTTCCAGGTCTGAAGGTCTTCCCAGGTCTTCTGTAAATGTTTTCTCTCCTCACCCAACAAGGGCTCAGACCATGATGAGGTGGTTTGAGTTGGTAGAATAACCTTTTTGCTTTTATATTGAGAGGTGATTCTGAACTTCAGCAAATCACCCTTCTTCCCTTGAGTGGTTACTATTGCTCTCTATGGGGTTTCCTTTAATTTCCTCAATGCCTGCTACAAAATCAATACAATCAAACAGCTGTCATAAAAATCGTGAACTATTACTTCCTAAATTTTAAAAGTCTACCTAACTTAAGAAGTCAGCCAGCCAAGAGCCCAACTTTGAGCCCTGCATTCTGTTTTATGACAATTATGATTCCTTATTTTAAAGGTAACTATTAGGTAGTGCTGGGAAGATCCCATACAGAAGAGGAGGGGTGTTTCAGAGTACAAGGAACTGTCCCGCCCTCTCATCTCAGAAAACCCGTTTTCAACCCTTACACAAACACTCATCCATCCACATCACCCAACCATCCCATCACAGGTATTTGGCTCGGGGAATCCAGGGCAGGAATCACCATGGGTGGCCTGAGTGAAGAAGGTACATTAGTAGTGGCTTGAGAAACTAGAAAACACACAAACAAGGGTTTTCCAGGTCAAATCTAAAGAACATTTGCTCAGCCAGGGTCATGGAAAAACTAGGAAATCTACCAGCAGAGTACTCTTGGGTTACAGTGCTGCCTGTCAGTGCTTCCCAGCGCCTGGTCCCAAGAAAAGCCAAGGGTTATGTGTGCATTATGTCAGCCCACAGGGTGCATTCTGGGTTACAAAATCTAGGGAGGAATCAGAATTCTTAGAAATGTTCAAAAGTAAATAACTGTATTTACTTTCCTAAGAGAAGAGACACACAGACACCCAGAGGTACATATGCACACACAGGAATTCTCTGGGGGCTATGGTTTCATTAAGCACATGAAGTTGACCACTGTACCCAAACACCAATGTGGAAGGTAAAAGAAATGGCTGCTAGGTCTCTCTCTCTCTCTCTCTTTTTTTTTTTTTTTCAATTATTTGTTACCCAAAAAAGCTGGCAATTTTCTTATCTTTAGTGGAAAGTCATGAGGGAGAGGCACTGGGACTAGCTCCACAGGGATAAAAACTTGAGGGCATTAAAAAAAAAAAAAAAAGCTCACTGCTTCCCATTTCTCTTGGTCACTGCCTGAGTTCAACAGTGGCCCCCTAAAAGATATGCGCTTTCTATTGCTGTCAAATAAATAAATAAAATCTTTTTTAAAAAATAAAAAATAAATAAATTTCTTTGGCCAAGAGGTAACTCGGACACAAGTGGGGGACAGAGATAAAAGGCAAGACACACTTCTACCTGATGGACCACCACCGCCTCCTAACACAACCAAGTTTGTCACGATCATGTGAGATGCTATCTACCGAGAACAGAAGTATAAAACCTACTGGAGAAACTTATTTCCAAATTATTAATGCCAAATGCCCACCAAAAACAGTACAGCTCAATAAATAGCACAACCACCTCCCACCTCTGGTCAGGAAAAAATTCTCTTATATTCGTGTGTCTTGTAATCCTCTTTCACTATGTGAACAACAGCCTTGAGCTGAGCTTCTGGAAACTGTCTGATACGTTTGTGCTCAAGAACGAAGAAAGTGAAAACACAGATTCACAAGGATATTCTGGCCCTAAATTCCATAGTATTAAATGTGTTTGGGAGAAGGATGGCACTTACCCAGTCCAGTCACAGACAGGTGGTCACAAGGCTGGGTTTCCAGAGCAGAAAGAAAATATATATTCTCTTCATCACATCCTCTACCCCATTCAATTTTCATGCTCACACAAAGGGATCAAAGGTCCTTTCTGTCCAAAGTACTCTTGTAATACTCAACTCTCTTCCTCCCAGATATGCAAATATCCAGTATATAATGTATGAAATTATAATATCAGAGCGTTTCCCCAGGCTGCCCAAGCTCACGTGGATGAGGATAACTTACTTGGCCCCTTCACTTACCTCTGGTCGTATATCCTCCAATGACATAAATTTTTCCCTTACACTCACACGCAGAGAACTCGGCCAGAGGATTTGGTAAGGGTGCCACAAAATTCCAGGCATCCTGCTCGGGATTGTAACACTCAACATTAGAAACGGCCTGCCCACCAATGGCATAGAGTTTTGAATTAACAGCCACAAGTTTGAAGTTAGACCTGAAAGAGAGATACAAAGGCCCAGAGAGTCAGTTTTCTTGACCATTAAGAAGGCAATGGCATGGGGCGCCTAGGTGGCTCAGTGGGTTAAAGCCTCTGCCTTCAGCTCAGGTCATGATACCAGGGTCCTGGGATCGAGCCCCTCATCGGGCTCTCTGCTCAGCGGGGAGCCTGCTTCCTCCTCTCTCTCTGCCTGCCTCTCTGCCTCCTTGTGATTTCTGTCTGTCAAATAAATAAATAAATCTTAAAAAAAAAAAAAAAAAGAAGGCAATGGCATGAACTGCTAAAGCAGACTGAGGAATGTGCTGGATATCTAAAGAAAATTAGCTTTCCAAGTTGGGTGCCATTCTGCTTGGGGACAGAGGAATGGCCAAATGACACCTCAAATTTCACTCCTATCTCAGAATTCACAAGAATGAAGCATTTTTCAAATTTTAGCAATTAGAGATAAGCAACTCAATATAACCAAGAGTAGTCTTGCTTAGCCTTATGCCAAGAACCAAAGATATTTTGTATACAGTAGGCTTAATATTTCTTTCAACAGCGGGAGCAAGTGTTAAGGGAGGAACGCATAACCACCTCCCTCCCTTGTCTCTCTACTCAGCATGTTTCCCATTCTTCCTCCCCAATGAGGAGGCTCCATGTTAGGTACACACTAGCACCTTCTATGGTGCGTATGCTAAGGGTGGGTGCTAGAGGGTGGTTCAAAGACCCCTTTACCACAAGTGCTCCTGGCAGATCTCTCGCCCCCCCATCCCACCACTCCATCCAAGGGCATCTTATATACTGTTTCACAACACAATACATAGGGTTACATAAGCACCAAACTAAACATATTTTGATACAGCACCCTTACAGGGGCTTCCATATGTTAACAAATACTTAAATCAACAAATGTTCACTTATCATAATAGAAACACTTATCATAATAGAAAATAATTTTAGGGGCACCCGGGCGGCTCAGCTGGTTGAGCGTCAGCCTTTGGCTCAGGTCATGATTCCAGGGTTCTGGGATGGAGCCCTGTGTCAGGCTCCATGCTCAGCAGGGAGTCTGCTTCTCTCTCTCCTTCCTGCTCATGCTCTCTCTCACTATCTCTGTCTCTCTCAAATAAATAAAATAATTTTAAAAGGAGAAGACACTGGTTTTAAGCCCCATATTCAGTAATACAATCAAATACTGCTCATCAGCTTCAGATGCTACATAAAAGTCTTGTAACTTTTAACTTCTGAATTGAAAAGAAAAAACTAATTTGTTCCAGTGTAGCGCACAGAAATTAATGACTCCTTGAAGGCCAGATGGGATACATATGGGCCAGTCTCCCAGATTGGCGCAGCAGTCTCAAGTTTACAGGCGTGTGAGCAGAGCACAATGCAACAGAAAGACCTGAAGCAGCTCTCTGACCCTAGCCCAAACACCCCAATTCACTATTGCTAGTAATGGGATAATACTCATCACAGGATGGTCAAGACATTACAGGCAACAGTTTCTCAGGAAGTACCACACCGAGATAAGATATTATCACTATAATTTCTTAGTTTTCTAGTGTTTGAAATAAAGAAAGTAGACCATGTAAATTTAGAGACCACATCTACCACCAATACAACAATGTCTTCAAAATTAACAATATCCTAAGAAAGAATGGGGGTAGAGGCCACATATGAAAAACGCAGGTAAGAGGGGAGATGAGGAAGAAACAGGGAACAAGTCGCCCACGTGTGATCTCCGAGCAGGAGTCTAATCAACACTGATGCACCATGACAAAGGACATGTGGGTAATAGCCACCTACACCTACTAAAACAGTAAGATTTTTTCAAAGGTGCCTGCAGTGTGTCCGTTTAAATCAGTCCTTGTTTTGTTTTTCAAATCAGAAAGTGAACAGAGTACTTTTCAGCAAGAACCTCACATTGTCCATTACACCTAGCCAGCCAATCACATTTCATGCCAACAGACTTCACAGGGTGGCAGTCACTGGGGGGGTCTCTACTTCATGTTGCTTACTTTTCCTGCTGCCAATGGTCCTTAAAATCTGACCATGATGCCCTCTGTGTATGTGCAAATTTGGGGAACCAAAGGAAATAAAGCTTGCAAATAAGGACTAAATTTTACCAGCCTGCAATTTGTTTTTGCTCCCCAAAGGTACACAGATAGTAAATTTTCTAAGATCAAAACGGTTTTTAATATTCATCCAGCATAATCATTTGTCCTAAGTAAACATGTAATGGCTGAATGAGTAAGCAGTTAAAAGTAAACAATTCCATCTCTCCAGACCCAGCATGCTCAAATTCACTTGAAGAGAAGACGCTTTTCAATATTGAGTTGAAGATGAAACTGCCACCCCAACGCAAACCACTTAGTGAAGACGTGTCCTGCTGAGGATTGTAATCCCAGGCTCACACAGGGAGATCTCAGCTCCACCACCCAACGGCTGTGTGACCTTGGACAAGTCACTGAATCTCATCTCATCCTCAGTTCATCTCATCCTCAGTTTCCCCACCTGTGAAGTGGAGAAAGGAACATATAACACATAGGAAGAGTTAAAAAGGGGAACACCTGCAGAAAGGGGTTACAAGAGGGAATGCTTTTTCTGGGTGTCATAAGGCTAAATTTCTTAACTCCGAGAGGGTCTCTTTGTCATCTGTTAACTGCAACAGTCACCGGCTAGAATGTATTCTGGAATTATATACAAAGTGCTCTCTCATCCATAAATTCTCACCATGAAGCACCTCATTTCCTACTCTCTGAAAGTAACTCTTTCACTCTTCACCTCCTGAAGGGTGAAAGTATGAATCCAAGCTATGGATTTTTTTTTTTAAAAATTGTCATCTCTAGTGTTTTCTCAATATTGATCCCTGACATACTACCCTCAGGGGGTAAAGAGAATAATTTTTAAACCAAATAATGATGTGTTGTAGCTACATCCTTGACTGACTTACAGTAAATAGAAATAAAGGTTAAAAAATGCTGATTTAATTGCTACTTCATCTCAAGGAAATAAAGAACTCAGCAAATCCTTAAAAACTAAGTAACATGAAACACGTTGAACCCTGCTACAGATCAACAGTAGCTGTATACAGCTGTAGGGCGGCCGGTGACACAGAGATGTGAGCGGCTTCGAGTGCTGGCCCTGTAACCATGCAAACTTATGAAACTCATCCTCAGTTTCCCCTTGGGGAGATGGAGCCAATACTACTACTACTCCCAAAGAGATGCTGTGAGCCTGAAATAGGAAGTGACATCTAAAACAGTGTCTACAACATGTAGCCCTGAGTTAAGAGCTCAAGAAATAGGAACCTTTGTTAGGGTTTGCTACATAGAAAAGTTTGTTGCCATTGGAGTAAACATCAGAGAGAAATGGCAAGATCTTTTCTCAACCACTCAGAAAAGACTTACATAGTTTGTGGAGCACTAGGGTCCTTATGTCCCCTCCTCCTCCTCCTCATGCCTACCTTCTGCCACTTCCCTATGGACTAACCTCCCCTGGGGACCAGCAGGTCACTACCTACTAGGTGTCTGAGAGACTGGAGCACACAAAGCATCTACTGGACAAAATCACAATGAGTGGGGGATGAACAGACACATAGTTTTCTTTCCTTCCCACTATTCTCGGGCTCCGCTGCAACCTTAACCAGAAAGGAGACCAGAAATGCCCTAAAATACTAAACTTTGACCCAGAGAAAAAGGGAACAGCTAAGGCTGACGACAGTAATTCCATCTCAGCCAGGAAACTTGTTTAACTCTCTCCCGGCTTTGTATTCACACACAGAACAACTGCAGAGCAAAAGTACAGGGCAATCAGAGAGACTAGAGACGTTAGAGACAGAGAAATGAATGAACAGGATTGCTGCAACATTGGCCAGTTCCTGCAAGTTATCACCAATGTAAGCGCGGAGGGAGGGCAAGCAATGTTGTGGGTATACAGGTTTTCACATGGATGTCCTGACAACTCCTGAGATCAAACCCACATGCAGACCACTGGGCAGTGTGGCATCCCTGGACTTCAAAGCAGCCTCTCTGCTCTGCTGTGTACTCACACTGCCATTTTCAAGTGTGCGGGCACAACACTAACATCTCTTTCTTCCCTTTTTTTGGGGGGGGGGAGCACTACTGGTCACATGCACCATTTTCTCCAGGTGCAAAGGACTTTACAGAATCTCTCAAAGCTAGGGTTCCTGCCTGTCCCATACTATTTAAGATTCTGAGATCACCACCTTATTCAGTCGCTGAGGAATGTGGGCTGCATTGCATTTGACCACTTTGTCAAAGTAAAACAGTAAAGGTATATCACAGAGGCAGTGAATCAAGCCAGATGTGAAATGCTATGTAATCACAGAGGCTGAAATCTGCTTTTCCTCAAGGTTCTAAGTTTCCTCTGGTGTTTCCAGAAACTGTATTAGATACATTATCCAGAAACAATCCCATTCTAAGTTTCATTTTTACTTGTTTCATCATCTAAACTCCTTGAGGACAGGAACCATGTCGTCTTTGTTGTTTGCCCAATAGTGACTAGAAAGATGCTAGACATGAAGGCTGTGGTGAAGCTCAAACACACGTAATGAAATTTTTAAAAGCAGCACAAAGCATCTGTGCTCCACTTCTCTGAAGAAAATAATTTTTAAGAAAATTAAAAAATGCACATGAATGAAGATGGTCACTGCTAGTCTATAAGCCAAACTGCAAATACTCTAAATGGTTATATCTATTCAATGGATATTTACATTTTGGTTACTCTACTTACTACACACCTTAGCAATTTACTTAACTTTCTATGCCTTGGTTTCTGACTCTGTAAAATGGGAACCTGACTGATACAGTCTTTGTGAAGAATAAGTGAGAGCAGTAAGAATAGTACCTAGCACAGAGTAAATGTTCAGTTAAATGTTACCTATTATTATTTTTCCACTATTCTAAATAACTATAGTGACTGTTACAAGATAAAAATATTCACAATATTACATTTTAAAAAATAAAATAATATAGTCACTTTTATTACAATAATATATGATATAGCCCATAATTCAAAAACAATGGTGCATTTTGAGCATCTATGAATTATTGGATATCACATTAGCAGTAGGAGCACACAGAAGCAATGAACTGGACCTGACTGGAAGGGAGAGAAACAAACATAAGCAGAAAACTTCAATTCGAGGTGGAGAGTGTTCTAGAGAAACAAAGAATTTGAATATTTAGCCTAACTGAGAGTTCAGAAAGGGACATCCAGTTGAGTTGACCATCAAATCACGTCAAAGTATGAGAGAGATAAAGACAGTTACAAATCCTGACATGGCCCCCAATTTTAAAATTTGGTGAAAAAAAGTATCTGTGTAGAAAAAAAACAGTAGCTCGGGGTTGCCTGGCTCACTCAGTCAGTGGAGCACGCAACTCTTAATCTCAGGGTTTTGAGTTCAAGCCCAACCTTTGCCCAGAACCTACTTAAAAAATAAATAAATAAACAAAAGTAAAAAAAAAAACCTAGAAAATTCCTGAGAATAACTGCACAAAATATACAGACTATACAAAGATCATAAACCTTTCCTGAAAGACCAAAAGACCTAAATACATGGAAAAATAAACCATTTTTCTATCTGCAAAGTATTATGAAACTATTAATCCTCCTCCAACTTAACTGATAAATACAATGTCAGCCCAATTAAAACTCCAACAGGACTTGACAATCGGATTCTAAAGTTTCTCTGAAGGGGAAAATGTACAAAGAATAGCTAAGAGAATCAAAATAAAACAGAAAAGGGGCACCTGGGTGGCTCAGTGGGTTAAGCCTCTGCCTTGGGCCCAGGTCATGATCTCGGGGTCCTGGGATCCAGTCCAGCATCGGGCTCTCTGCTCAGCAGGGAGCCTGCTTCCCCCTCTCTCTGTCTGCTGTTCTGCCTACTTGTGATCTCTCTCTCTCTCTGTCAAATAAATAAATAAAATCTTAAAACAAAACAAAACAAAACAAAACAAAAAAAAAAACAGGTCTCCATTCCATGAGACAACAGAATAGTTTACCAAGCTGCAATAATTTAAAAGTATGCTATCGGTAAAGGAATAGCCAATATGTCAATATGGAAACAGGAAAATTAGCATCTGATAACTGGTTGTGCAAATCACAGTGAGGAGTGAGGCCACTAAGACATTTAGGAAACATGCTATAACCTAACATTATACCTTACATAAAAATGAATCCCAAACACATTCAAATATAAATGTAAAAAGGCAAAACTATAAAATAGATTATAAGACAGATGAATATTTGTATATTCTTAACTTGTAGACACCTTTCCTGTGCAAGATTAAAAGCTAATAGGATATACATGACAAATTTGACTTCAAAAAAATTTAAATTTCCTCATGTAAGAAAACATGATAAACCTGACGTCCAAAATTGGAGGCTCACAATGCTGGTGTTGTCCTACAGTTCGTTTGGTCTGCAAGGTTTCTGTTACAGTTGATGTTGGTTTTTTCAATGCAGTAAGTTGCCAGCCTTTAAAAATCAGGGCATCTGGCTGTCTGGCAATGCTTTCTATACTTGGAGATAGCAACAAGCTGTGGGTGAGAGAGGTGGGGCCCTCTTGCGGTGGGGTGACAGCTCTCCAATTCATCATCACTCCAACCCACCCCTCTACTCATTGACTTCACCAGCCTGGTCACTTTGCGGATTTTATTTTTGAGGCCTTCCAGTAAAATAAAGGCAGGGGGGAAACAGTGCAACATTACCTGAGACAAGAGATTGATTCTACATATGTAAACAGAATTTCTAAACTGAATATGAAAAAGATAAACCAATTTTCTTTTTCATTGGCAAAGGCCACTTATAAAATATATACAAAGGGCCAATAAACATCTGAGAGGAAAAATTTCTCTCCCAAGCAGAAAGATTCACATCAGTGTTTGTCCACTAGATTGGTAAAAATAAAAAATAATGATAATATCTTGTCTTGGCAGGAGTATAGGAACTGGCAAGCTCAGACACTGTTGATAGGAGAGGAGATCTGAACAATGTTCTGATGGGCAACTTGGCAGGAGCTACCAAAATTTAAAAACTTATATATACTTTGGCTCACCTATCCAGGGATTCCAGGAATTTGTCATTTAGAACTACTGAAAAATGCCTGCTAAGAGAGGCACATATATGCCAAGATGTTCAACATAGCATTTTTTTTAAAGATCTTATGTATTCGAAAGAGAGAGTGAGCGAGTGAGAGAGCACAAGTGTGGGGAGGGGCAGAGGGAGAGGGAGAAGCAGTCTCCCTGAGGAGCAGGGAGCCCAACATGGGACCCATTCCAGGACCCTGGGATCATGACCTGAGCCAAAGGCAGATGCTCAACCGACTGAGCCACCCAGGCATCCCATTATAGCATTGTTTATAATGGCAAATAGAAGCAACTTAAATGCTCATGAGTAAGGGATGGGCTGATTACATTATGGTACAGCCATAGGCTAGAATACAGCTCTTATTAATGAGTGAGACAGCTCTATATTTGTTGATATTTGTTGATACAGAAAAAACTCTCCAAGTGGAATGGTCAGAATAATCAGCACAGCCTAATCAACCTATGGTAAAAACATATATAAGATGCACACACACCCCTGCATGTACACGCATACATACATTTTCCCCTAACAATTATCAACATACTTATGTTTATATAAATGCACATTTATAACATATATTTACAAATGTATAATATATAAATATATATCAGTAGATACACATATCTTTTACTCTGTGGTTTTTCGTGTCATTTGTAATTTTTCTAAGCATGTATTTACGAATTACTTGAATACCTTTTTTTCCCCTGGAGGACATAAAGAATATTCCTAAAAAGAAAAAGAAAAAAGACTATCAAGGATTTGTAAAGAAAGAAAAGGTGGCACTGGAGTGGCTCAGTTGGTTAAGCATCTGACTTGATTTTGGCTCAGGTCATGATGCCAGCATCATGAGATCAAACCCTACGTCAGGCTCTGTGCTGAACATGGAGCCTGCTTAGGATTCACTCTCCCCCTGTGGCCCTCCCCGCTTCTCTAAAAAAATAATAATAATAATAATAATTCTGTGAGGTGTTATGTTAGAGCTCAAGCTGGATTTGGGGGTGGAGGGGTTCTGTTGAGTAGCAGTTGATACAGCTGGACACACATGTGTAGAGGTGACAGACAACCGGCTGGGCCTTCCACCCCAAATCTGAGCACCATCCGTAACCACTGAATGTCCCTTTGTTACTTCAATTAAAGCTTGTAGAATTTGCTTAAAAATAACACTTCTGATACCAAATCTTAAATACAGTATCATCTCAGTGGTATAAATAATACACTAAAAAGGGCTTGGAAGAAAACATTCCAATCTCTACACAGTATTGCCTCTGTGAGGGAGGGAGCAGGAGTGATAGTCTTTCTGTTTCTTGATTCTTTTCCATTTTCCACTTTTCTAGAATAATTATGTATTATTTTTATCACCAGAAAAAAAAGAACACTTTCCAAAATGAATTTTATGTTATAGTAGAAATAAAGCCACTGTTTCCCCCACCCCCCCAGGTTGAGGTACCCTTAAGTCAAGTATGTATGTATAATGGTCTTCCCATTCCAGTTAAAACTTTCTTTGCCTGGTGGTGAGTCCCCCAACTACTTGTTCCACACTTCAGGGTAGGGCCCATGTGGGGGTTGAGATGGATACAAGTGTAGCAGAAGAAAGAGTATTCCTGTCCTTTCGTGGGTCACACTGATTCTTCTCCCCACTTGTGTGTGAATGGCTCTGGGCCATCCTGAGTCCTACCATCTTTCTTTCCTACCTACCATCTCTTCCTGTATCTGCTCTGCTCTTTTTTTTTTTTTTCCTCTTCTTCCTTTTCCTTTCCCACCTCTATTCCCTATTCTCCCTCACCTCCCCTCCTCCTTTACCTGTTTTCATGTCACCCAAGGGCATGTTGGGAGGGATTTGAGGATGGGAGGGGAGAAGGTTGGGTGGACTGAAATGTTCTAATTCTGTAGGTGACCACTGCCAGGCTCAAATTTTAGAGCAAAGACGAAACTGTCTGGGAAGGAAGGGAGATGCAAAAGAGAGGATACAAAATAAAGACAATCCAAGGTACAATTCTAATGGTAATCTCCTGATCACAGATTGGGGCCCCAGTGTGGAAAGCTTCAAAGGCAATAACAACAACAAAAATCCTCCCAAGACAGTATTACAGGTCACTGCCCGGTCTGTCACTGTAATCAGGATTAGAGCCAAAAAAAAAAAAAAAAAAAAAAAGGTAAAAATGAAAGCAAACTTAAAAAAAGTTTTCCTTTACAGTATCCTCCCAGGAAACCACAGACATAACCCCTCCCCCACAACTGGGAAAGAGGCAAAAAGGCAGTTTGCCTGAAAAAGCGAGATCTGCAAGGAAAGTACTCGGTTAGTTGACCGGGCTGGGGCCACTTCTTCCTCTCTTCCTTCCAAGTTCTCAGTTCCTTGGGAACTCTGCCAGAGTCCAGGCCAGCGACACTCCTGAAGATGTCATTCCCACCTCAGCAAAATCTCCTGCGATTGCCCAGGAAACATCAGGGGAATGAACGAACTAGTGAGCAAGTGAATGAATGGAACGGGAAAAGAAGCAGAAGCAGCCCCGCTGGGCGCTTACCTCTTCTGGTTCATGGAGGCCACCTGGAGCCACTCATTGGTGCTGGGGTTGTAGGAGTGCGCAGCCGAGATTTCCTGGCTAGTGATCCTATACCCGCCCACTATGAAGAGGTAGTTGTCCAGGATGGCGGACCCGTAACCCCTGACGTTCACCAGGTCGGGAGGAAGGTTATTGGCCAGCGGGAACCAACGTTCGGTCATCTCCTCATACCTGAGCATGGACGGGGGCTCCCCTTGGTAGGGGTGAGGGGCCAGGGGTCCCCCCAGGAAATCCCCCAGGGCTACAAGAACCGGAGTCCCCGTCATCCGGGCCTCTCTCAGCCTCTGCTTCAGGCTGACATCCCCGGGGGCCTGAGGAGGAGCCCCCAGGAGGTGGAACTGGGGCTTGCACAACACCTCGTGGAAGTGGACGACCATGAAGCGCAGGCAGGCCTCCTGCAGGTCGGGCAGCCCGTACACCTGCGCCAGGCGGTACAGCTCCAGGCAGTTGGTGAGCCGCACCTGGGACAGCAGCAGCTGCAGCAGAGACGTGACCTGAAGGAAGGAGGCCGCTTCCACCAGCTCCGCCAGCAGGCTCACCTCGTCCATCTCCTCTTCCTCCTCCACCCCGCCGCCCTTCTCCGCCTGCGGGCCCAGGAGCCAGCCTTCGCGGGCCCCGCCGGCGTTGATGAAGTCCAGCACCAGGCGCAGGCCCGGGGCGCTGAGGCCGCGCAGCTGCTGCACCTCGGGGCCGCCGGCCTCCTGGCTCAGGGCCTCGCGCATGCCGGAGCGGTAGAGGGCGCGGAAATAGTCGCTCTGCTCGATAAGCTTCCTCTTGCTCACCGGGTAGCAGCGGTCCTCCAGGCGGATCTGCACCATCTCCTCGGCCGACATGGCTGGGGGGCCGGGGGCCGCGGGGGTGCCCGCCAGCTCTGCGCGCTCGCCTCCCCGCCCCCACGCGCTCGCCGGGTTCCGGGTTGGGCGCGCCGAGGGATGGCGCCGCGGAGGAGGGAGGCGACCGGCCGCCGCCCGCTCCCGCGTCCGCCCAGCCTATCTGGGTCTCGGCGGCGCCCCCGAGGCAGCCCCTCCTCCTGGTCCCGGGGGCGGCGGCTCAGCCTCGCTCCCCCGGAGCGGCCGCCCTGCCCGTCTGCTCTGCCTCAACGCCAAAAAAGGCCCGGCTGCAGCGCACCGGGCGTCGGGAGGCGGCCGCCGTCCTCGTTCGGGTTGTCCGGGCCGCGTCAGCCGCCGAGGGGATCCCAGCCCCCAGTCTGCAGCCTCCTCCCACGCCTCGCTTCTCACTTCCGCCCGCAGGACCCCTGCCGCCCGCCAGACCTGCGAGCGGATCCGGCTTTCGGGGAGGGCTGGAGGGCTGCGGGCCCCGTTGCTCAGGCTGCGGCCACGTCCCCTCAGCCTCCCCCGCACGCCGGGCGCAGCGGCTCTGCGGCCTGCGGGCTCCGCAGCGATGTGCGGGCTGGGAGGGGGACTGGAGGCGAGGTGAAGCCAGTCCGCTGTTTCTTCCGCGCTGCTTTACAAGCGCGGAGAGAGAGAAAAGAAGAAACAGGCGTGGGGGGACCGGGATGATGGGAGTCGGGGGTCCTGGGAGTCAAAATGACATCACATCTGGGATCGCCCATCTAGCCCAATCAGGCATAGTGTCCCGGGGCCTGAGGCACACAGGCCTTCCCTACACACGCAGGTGACACCTAGAGCTGATTCTTCGCCATGGCCATCGTGTAGAAGCCATCTTGCAGAAAGAAGGTCCAGGCAGATGGCAGCAGGTTCTGCAGGGCTCGCTGGGGTGCACAGTACAGCAGATGAAACGGGTCGGGAAGCAGAGGAGCTTGTATTTGCTGCTGGGGCCCGTTAATCCTTTTTATGCTATTAAAAGAAAGACAATTTAAGTGAGGACACGTGACTTCTTTTTAAAACCTCGTCTAAAAGTCATTGCTTCTCCTATTTCAATTTGATTGGGCTAGCCATGACAGAACGTGATCCTTTGGGCAGAAGGTCTGGCCGCCTTTAGTCATACTGACCTACCGAGTGGCTTTTCTTGCCACCCTATGTTCCCCAGCTCATGCCCCGTCTGAGGACTACTTAAGGAGGGTAGACTTCTTCCCGGTCTCCTCTCACTGGACGTTGCAAAGAGATGAATAAAAAGCTCAGGCCTAATAATGAGGACTTCGTGTTGTTCATGAGATATGAATTAATCTTAGAAGGGAGTGAGGGGGATACTGTTAGGTTAGTTTTGGGTAGATAGAGGGATAAGGATTGGGAGGGAACTGGCACCCTATTCTACAAACAAACAAACAAACAAACAAAAAACCTTGAAATTTTTCCCAGACCAAGATTCTTCCGTAATAGTCCTCAACTTGGGGAGGAGATGTATTTGGGCTTTGTTTTTATTATGACAAGCTTCATCTGTCTTCTTGAATGACAAGTTGTTAAATGACACCTTCTTCATAAATACATTTCTGCTTTTTGAAACAAGTTACCTACTACAACCGGATTAACATTTTACCTTAGCAAGGGCTGGGGGAGGGGGGGGAGGGGGGTGGGGGGGAAGGGGGGGAGGGTTAAAAACCAGAGAAGAAAGTCAGATTGGTAAAGCATGAAATTATTTCAGCACCTTTTTGGTTAATTTGTGCTTCTCACTATGTAACTTAACTGCCTCATGGTGAGTTGTCCTCCATTATTTTCTTTATAAAACACCATGGAGAAGAAACTAACATATTAAAGACATAGAAAAAAATTCTAGTAGATTCTGGCCTCCCTGGGAAAAGTGAAGGAGACAAGGATGGATCTATGACTTGCCTTATTCGTCTATTTTTTTTTTTAATCTGTGAACTTTATCTTTTCACCTTATTTCTTGGACTTTAAATCATTACTGATAAAACTCCATTCTCAAGCAACTTCTCACACTTCTGTTCTCAATAAGGGTGCAGTCAAGACATTCTAAGTTTCTTGGGGGGAGGCAACCATGAATTTAGCAACCTCTTTGGGAAAGTAAAGTGCCATCTCTAGTATTAGGCCTTAAACTGGCAAACTTTGCTGGGAGGCACACCCTCTATTAAAGAGGCTTGGGCTTGGGATTTATTTGTGCCTCCATCAGCAACAATGCCAGATTCAGTGGGTCAGCCAAGAAGAACAGGCTCTTAGTCTCTTCCCTGTCCTTTTAGAATCTTTCACCAATGGATGCTTTTGTTTCCAAACGTCATGGATATGCCTCAGACTGGTATTTTCTTGCCTTCTAAAAAGAGACCCAAAAAAAATCACACTCAAAGAATGATGCACATCAGAAAGGCAATTCACGCACAGTAATATTATCAGAGTAAGATTAGCTTGGGCAGGGAATCTGGGGTGTGAGTCTGACAAAACCAGGCACTGAACCTGTAAGCTTTTTGACCCCAATAATGATAATAATGTCATTTAGGATTGGAAGTATCTTAAAAGATCTAATCATTTTTATAATTTACACAGTAAGCTTTCTGTTGAGTTAGAAATGCAAAGTCAAAGCAATATAAACTCATTTACAAAAGATCTAAAATATTATTTCTAAGCCTTATGAAAATATTGCTCATATACAGCTGGTGGTATAATTTTATAGATCTGTTATTGACTGAACAATGAATAATAAAGACTGGCCTTTGTGGTACTATGACTCACTTCAGACACTTTATATATTATGATCTTTTTACAAAAGACTACAGTAAGAGTCAGACACAGGCTGTTTCTTTAAGAATTTCTGGAAAATACAACCTTAATGACTGAGAAGGGAAAAAAATTTTTAAGTACAAGATGTTTATTACAGTGTTGCTTTTAATAATAAAAAATTGGAAAACATAATGTATAATAGTAATAGTAGCCAGCATTTATTGTTTATTATATGCTAAGCACTATTGTCAGTGATTTTGTGGATTACAATACAATTTTTTATTTTGCTTCATAGCTGAGGAAGCTGAAGTACAAAGTAAATTTTGGTACATTTGTAGAATGAAATACTGGAGACCCATTACAACTTTGGATAAACATGTAGATCCTTCTTTAGAAACCCTGAAAAATATAATTTTACCCTGGGTTTTTAGAAAACCGTTTCTGGAGGGACAACTGGGTGGCAGAGTCAGTTAAGCATCAGGTTCTTGGTTTCAAGTCAGGTCATGACCTCGGGGTCATGGGACTGAGCCCTGAGTGGGGTCCGTGCTCAGTGTGCAGCCTGATTAAGATTCTCTCTCCCTCCCTCTCTGCCCCTCCCACTCATGTTCTCTGTCTCTAAAACAAATAAATAAATCTTTAAAAAACAGTTTCTGGAACAGCATGAATCCATTTATGTACAATGGCATATATGTATCTATTTTCTATAGAGATGTCTAGAAGGATGTTAATGAAAGTGTTAAGACTATAGGACTGTAGTTTTTATTCCTTTTTGTGCTTTTCTGTACAGTTTGGATTTTTATTTTTTAATTTTTTTTAGAGATTTTTATTTATTTATTTGACAGAGAGAGACACAGTGTGAAAGGGAACACAAGCAGGGGGAGTGGGAGAGGGAGAAGCAGGCTTCCCACAGAGCAGGGAGCCCAATGTGGGGCTCAATCCCAGGACCCTGGGATCATGACCTGAGCCAAAGGCAGATGTTTAACAACTGAGCCACCCAGGTGCCCCAAAAGTTTGGGTATTTAAAGTGAAACATATATCAATTTAATAAAAAGCAAAACATTTTAATAAAGATTATTTCCTTTTCTTTTTTAACAAGCAAAACTGAAATATTTTCCTTTCATGAAAGCATGTGGGACAATTTAAATGACTTTAAAATAGTACAGTTCTTTAAAAATGGCTCAGGGTCTCTTGGATGATTCTCAGTGTGTTGGCCATCCAACTTTTGGCTTTGGCTCAGGTCATGACCTCTGGGAAGGGACCGGAGATCCAACCCCTTTCATCTTTACACCACCCCCACCAGGTCAGGCTCCCTGCTCAGCAGGGAGTCTGTTTTTCCTCCCCCTCACTCTCTACCCCACCTTGACCCCCCCCTCAAATAAATATTTAAAAAAAATAAAAATCATTCATATTTCAGATTGAGCATCTTAATGTAAGTAAAACTTCCATTTTTTTTGCAGTCAGTGTTATGTCAGTGTTTTCCAAACATCTTAGTAAATCACCTGGGACGCTTATAAGAATTCTGGTTCCCAGACTACAGCAACTGAATGAGGCTCTTGGAAAGAAAAGTGTGGTTTTTAAGGTAAGAATACAATCTTTGAACCCCTCTTAAGAGCACCCAGTTGGAAATAAATATAACATATCACTGCATTGTAATAGTGTAACAGTTCTCAATATTTGATAAAATCTATAAAAGCCTATATAGCAATTTTTTATTCAAAATTGGAATTGCTTTCTGGTTTCTGTAATTTCATCTCACATGGACAATTTTGAGACTAGATGTTTCTGGGCCACGTATCTCAGCCCATTGTGGATTCCTCCCTCTGCCCCTGCAGTCCAGTTTCTATCTCTCCTTTTCAAAATACTTGGCTCCAAGAAGTTCCTGGTTTCCAACTGAATGTTTATGCAATCACCAAAAAAAAAAAAAAAAAAATTGCTTTAAAAATTTTAAAGCATGCTTTTACATTGGAATTTGGAGATTCTTTAAAAATGCAACTTTGATCTTTACCTGAACACCATATCACAGCAAAAGGATTAAGCAATTATGGGTTGTTCCATTATCCCTGCAGGATACATGAGAACTTCAAGGAATTCTATATCACACAAAAGAAACTGCATTTAATGTGATTGAAAGACACTGGGGGTAGAAGGTTAGAAAGCTGACTTTCTGGTTTATGTCCCTGGGGCATGAACTAATTGCTGTATCTATGGAACCTCATGGAGAAAAAGGGAGTAATCTTTTTGTTCCTCACCTGTCGCTTACTTTCCCATCAGGAAACCTCTCTTCCCTTTCTCCTTGGAACAGACAGAATGGTCTGATTATTTGCAGGTAAGCAACTGAAACTTGTTTTCTATGAGAAGTTCAATAGAATAACATATTAATCATTTTTAGTATATTTTAGGTGGCTTATGCAAGGTTAGGAGTTAATCCATTGCTATAATTTTTGCTTAGGAGAAAGTAAAATGTTTTGTTTTTAAAGTTATTCAGCCCTTTGATTATTTGCTTATTATTGATGATTAAATCATATATTTCTAAAAATTAAAGGATATGTGATAGGCTATTATTACAAAACAGGTAGAGAAATGAAAATTCAAAGAATGTTAACGTTTTTGTGTCAAGTAAGTGAATGAGTCATTGTGCAAAAGGTATAAAAGAAACCCAGATCACAGGATAGAAAAAGCTTCGTCTTTTTTTTTTTTTTTTGAAAAGAGCAGTTCAACCATACTTTATGCCAAAAGCTGATTTTCACTTATGCTTGGTATAAAAATGGGTATAAAAACCCAACAGTTTCATGTTTTGAACTACTTTGTCAATGTGGACATCATCATGGGATATGGAAACTACAACCTTCACAAAAGTGAGAGCCCATTTTTGCCTCCTTTAGTATCTTTTCAAATGTTTTGGCATTGCAATTGAAGTGATTTTTATTAATATTTAGAAATTTAAAACCATTTCATTTCCCTAATACACATTTCTTAGCAACTGTCTCTGCTTTCGTCAGAGATACTATGCGTTTTTGTATATGCTTCACAAAGAAGTATCCTTTATAACTTGCAATCAAGAATCTCAGAAAATAGATTAGATAGCCCCCATTTTGAACTTTTTTTTTAAAGATTTTATTTATTTATTTGACAGAGAGAGAGCGAGGGAAGGAACACAAGCAGGGGGAGTGGGAGATCGAGAAGCAGGCTTCCCGCTGAGCAGGGAGCCCAATGGGGGCTCAATCCCAGGACATCGGGATCATGAACCAAGAGGAAGGCATATGCTTAATGACTGAGCCACCCAGGTGCCCTCCCCCACCGCTTTTTGAACTTCTTCACAATTTTCACTGTAATGTTTCATTTTCTTTTTTTAAAGAAAGCCTGTGGTTGACCTTTGTGGGGGTGGGGAATGCCTAGCTCCAAGAAGTGACCAGGATCCACATATCCACATTCAATGTTTTCAAAACCACTGCAAAATTAATTTTTTTTTTCATTTTCAGTTTTCATTTACTTTCAAGGTTTTGTTGTTATTTTGTTAGTAAAAACAAAAAATTTGAAACAGGGCACAAACTGGTTTTCTGGTGAATGTAAATACCAGAACTTAAATCCATAGGGGGAAAATTTTTTTTAAAAAGTCTGCAGTCGGGGCACCTGGGTGGTTCAGTGGGTTAAGCCTCTGCCTTCCGCTCGGATCATGATCCCAGAGTCCTGGGATCGAGCCCCGCATCAGACTCTCTGCTCGGCGGGGAGCCTGCTTCCTCCTCTCTCTCTGCCTGCCTCTCTGCCTACTTGTGATCTCTCTCTCTCTCTCTGCCAAATAAATAAATAAAATCTTAAAAAAATAATAAAAAAAATAAAAAGTCTGCAGTCACAGGTTTCTTTAAAACCATACAACAGTTCCCTTACAAACAATGTCTTGTTTCTGGTGTAATGGATCCTTCCTTTATCTGATGTCAAGTGACCAAATTATTGTTTTCCTCAGAAAGACTCTGGGCTAGGATTTCCACTTGTCTTTATATTTACTTAGTAAGAGGTGTCTGTGACTATTCACTTTCAGAGAAAGAAGAAAAGCAGAGGAGAGAATCCACATCTTCAAGAGGGTAAGGGACAGAGTAACAAAATGGCCTGGAAAATGTTCAGAATTAACATCAGAAAGTCAAATGTTCACCTAGGGCTCAGCTGGGAAGAAACAAAAGAAAAATCAATATGCAGTCAAAGAATGGCTTCACTTTTCTAGAAGGTGACTCTCTAGGAGAGTCCCTTAGCAACAGCTTCGAAGTTCCAGAACCTGTCCTCAACCCCGATGGTCAGCTTCAGCTTCCAGTCTGTCCAGAACTCAGACTTCTTGCCCGATCTTCCTACCACGGAAATGCACGTGGCAGTGGTGGAAACAGCCTTGGTGCTGCTGCTGAGCATGGGGTGGACTTCAGACTCTCTCTGCTCACCCACCATTTTTTATAGAGACTGTTGGATCCGTCGCTTTCCAGGTCTTCTGATTGACCTGGAGGAGTCTCAGAAGCTGGGAGCTCAGTTCCTGAAGTATTATTCTGAAAGTACCGGCCAGAAATGCAGCAGGAGCTGCTGCCTTAGGAAGGATGGTAAGTATCAATGATATGCCTGAGCAAAAATCAGGAGAAACTTATAAAATGAAGATCTAAGTAAGGAGCTCTAGGCAGAGGTTCCAGGGAACAGATGATCAGGACTAGGGAAGATGAGGGAGAGACAAGGGGATGGGGGAGGGCAGGAGAGAGATTGAGACTGACTTTGCCATTTGGATCAGTGCTGGCTCAGTTTACAAATCTGGTGATGATCCAGGGTGCCATGGAACCCACAGGTGACACAATCTTCTTTTCTTCACTAAAGTGCTAAATGAAACTATTTCCTTGAGGGTTAACAATATTTCCACACCCCCCCAAAATGGCATATTTGGTTTCAAAAATATAATAATTTCCAAAAAACACAATAATTTCCTTTTCAAACTTCTTTTGGTGATCTCAATATTTCAATTTTTTGAAATGTGCTTGCTTGTGTTGAGCAAATGTGGGTTGCATTGAGCAGGAATTTAGATTGTTTAGATGTTTTGAAGGACATAGGTAGATATATGTCAACTAGCAAAAAGGAAGAAAAGAAATATATATTTTAAATATTCTGATTTTTTTTGTCTGAAATCCAGAATCAGAGTTAAGCATCACCCATGTAATATGATCAAGGTTTATAATGAGGAAAACATTTCATTATTGCAGAATTTCAGTTACAATTGTCTAAAGACTACTTTCATTTGTTTTTCATTTTTCCAAGATTTTAAAGCTACTTGGAAAGAAATAGCAAAAGCAACACAATACGTTAAAATAATTCTCTTGGTTCTTCCACACTTTCTTTCCATGGTTTGATACCGACTTATTAATTGCCAGTGCCTTCTATCCAAGTACACATGGCAGATTTCTGGGATGTGGACTGAGGCTATCCAAGGGTGTAAACTGACCACAGTGTGAGAAGCTGTCCCAAGCTAAGCCCTAGAAAGTTAATCAGACACACAAGAGAGCAATTAATTTTTTAAAGGGAAATTTTTTTTTTTTTTTTACAGAATTTATTTGTTTGAGAGAGAGAGAGAGTGTGTGTGTGTGTGAGAGAGTACAAGCAGGGGCAACAGCAGAAGGAAAGGAGAAACAGACTTCCCGTTTAGCAGGGAGCCCAATGCAGGGCTTGATCCCAGACCCTGGGATCATGAGCTGAGCCAAAGGCAGACACTTAACTGACTGAGGCACCCAGGTGCCCCAAAGGGAAATTTTTTTGAAAAGGTTGCCAATCTAGATTCTCACCTTAAAGATGCTTCTAATTCCCATAAGCCTCAAGGGAAGGTGGGCGGAGGGGGGGGTGTACCTTTCGGCATTTTCCCATGGTATCAATTTACCTGACTGTCCATCGCAGGGAAACTGTGTCCTCTGGACTTCCAGGGATACTGTAAGCATCCAGTAGAATTCCATGATTTTAGAGCCTCTGTAGCTTCCAAGTTGTGGTTTTCTTCCTCCAGAAGAAAGGGCACGAACACACGTCTGTTTTAGCTGGAAGCCAGAACTTTAAAAAGCCACAATCCTGCAATAGCTAACCTGTTCAGAGCTGGAACTCTAAAATGTACACGAAGAGGAATATAAAACTTCTTTTAAAATTATTCTCTTTACAGCATCAACTACTTTCTTATCAAAAATTTAAATGTCTAAATTTGAATATTTTTTTATCCTTTCCCTTAAACTTGACAGTCCAGTCTTCAGGGAATGCATTTGTAATCTAAAATGTATTAGCAATGTATTATTCATTGAATTCTGCCCTCTTCTTTATCCTCCTGGCTGGTCCAGAGGTAATGGGGGAGGGGTGGGATAGAGCTCCCCACAGTTAACCTTACACAGAAGCAGCAAAGGTTTGGCCAACCACAATTCCACAACAGTTTTAGGGATACTCTGAGGTCTGGTAATTGTATGCTATCCCTCTGTAATCTTATTTTATTAAAGAAGTTGATACCTTTGGTCAATGGATATTTCCCAGCACATGGTTCCTACTACACTGCAGCAGGAGGAAAGTCTGTTTTGCACTTTAGAGAGGACAGACTGGATACTGGCACTCAGCAAATCAGACTTAAGGGTTTCCAGAAATAACATGATGCATTTTATGGAGCAAAGTTATTTAGGAGAAGGGGGATAGCATCAGTGATGTACCCCCACCCACTAGAATTCCAAATGCTCACATCCTGTCAGTAGACTCTCTTCCTCTTTAAAGGACATTGAATAGGCTTTCCGTTGGATGTGTGATTTGCAAATGGGGCTAGTGCTCCCCTATAATCAGGTCAGGGTAGCGTTCACCTAGCCTGCTGCCTTTCTACCATCTGGGCCTTTCCCAGTAATTGCAGTTTTAGCCTTCCCATGACTCCCTCTTTTGTTACAACATCTGTCACTTGATTTTCGTATTTCTTTCTCTGGTGAACTCCGGTGCATTAGCATTCTGAGAGGGCACTGCAACTAGAAATCTGATAACCCCCGGGGCTTCTGTAGCCAACTGAACTTTTCATGAACATAAAGTCCTGGGATTGGAAAATGATTCCAGGTAATCCTGTGTGGAATGGAATGTGTGAAAGATTAGAGAAAATCAGTGGATAGTTTCTTTTAAAAAGGCATTTTCCACATTCATAGAAACAGTTACTGTAGTTCACCATGTTCTGTGAGATGTCTGAACATAGCCCTGCAATATACTGGTGTGAATGCCATGTTCTTGGAAGAAATAGAAGCTACTCAGAGCTCTTCCAGCTGGGAGAAACCAAAACCATCTGCAGATGCACTTTTCCTTTCAGTTTCCTGTAACGTGGCTGTCTTCTACCATGATCCCATGCATGACAATGTCAACTGCCTCCATATTCACTGCCCCACACTGGAGAGTTGCATATTAGAGCCCGGAACCAGTGCCATTTTATACAACGTAACAGAAGGTAATGATTTGTGTATTTTGTATTTATGTTGAAGAATGTTGGTAATGCTCTAGTAGAGATGTATAACCTAGAAACTGGCTGGCAACAACCTGAACCACTGTTTTCCCGTGATCTCTATCTGGAAAAGTTTTGTGCATCCAGGGCAGAAAACTACAAATAAATTTGCTTTAGTTTGGCATGCTCAGCAATGATGAATTCATTCCAGATGATAACAAATTGTATGTGATCAAAGAAGAGCTTAAGCATTACCTATATTCCAGGAGCCCCCAGCAAAAGCCAAAAAAGGCATTCCTACTGGAGGGGCTAAGAGTACTACTAGGAACAAAGAAAATGCTTAGTGGTAGTTTTGAGGTCTATGGACAGACACTATACAACGATTCTACAAAGATTGATGTCAAGGACAAGGAAATGCACTTTCTAACATACATTAGCCTACCAATGGTCACAAGATAACCAAGATAACCATTATTTTAGATAAATACACATTTAAGCGTACCTTGCCCATGTATATAAACAGACGGTACAAATTGGTAAATATGAAAGAATAGATTTTTGCCATCCAGACACAAAGGCGATAAATTTCATCATTGATTTTACTTACTGAACACCTAATTCAGGCCGGGAGCAGCATTGCAGAAGATGGCAGCCGTATCTCTGCCCTCGAGTTTCTTACAATCTAGTTGATATGACAAGGCTCACAATTAGTGTAGAACCTAATTGAATACAAAAATGTGTGATACTGCCTCAAGTACAAGCACTCAAAAGAAGAGGAGACTAAAGAAACCTACATTCAGAGGCAGCTTCGTGGAAGAGGCCAGGCAGAGGCAAGACAAGGAGTTCTGTATCACACGATGGGAGAGTAGAAAACAGATTTGGCTACAAAAGGGGCACTTTCGGGGTTGCAATGAAAATCTGGGTAAGGACAGGGTAGGCCAGGTTACAAAAGTGTTTTGGACAAAGCAGTGTTTGGGCTTGACTTTGTCAGCAACAGAGAACCAGCAAAGGCAATTAGTGAGAAAAACGTCATCATTAAAGTGATGAGTGTGATTGTCTTTAGTCTGGGAAAATAATATGCAGGATGCAAATAAGAATATCTAGTCAGGGAAGCATTAGATCTGGAGAAGGTGACCATAACTGCAATGAAGAGGAGGGATGATTACCGGCACATTAGGAGGGAACCAGATAGGACCGACTTTTTGGATGAAGGAAAAGAAGAGAGAGGAGTCAAAGATTGCTCTGCAGTACATAGATTCCAGCTTGGGTGATGGAAGATTGGTGAGGTCACCGAAAGGGAGAGAGCCAGACAAAATGATTTTGGCTTTGGGACTGTTCAGTGATGACATGAGATGTCTAGGTGGGAACCTTCAGTAGACCACAGGAGCAATGAGACCAGGGACCGAGAAACAGGAAATAACAGGTGATGTGGATTTCAGTGCCACTGACATAATGGTGACAACCGATGAGGATACTTGTGTGTGTGTGTGTGTGTGTGTGTGTGTGTGAAGGGCTGAGATGAAGGGAAAATTCAGCAGATGACAACAGACTAAAGATTGTGGAAAGCACACAACCAGTTTGGACCAAGGAGAGAACCAGCTAAAGAAAGAAAAAATGAGAAACAGGCAATCTGAGATAAAGTGCCAAGAGAATCTGTGTTCCAGGGAGTCACAAGAGGAGAATTTTAGGGAAAGGATGGCCAGCAGGATTGAGGGTAAAAGAGAAGTCAAAACAATGAGGTGGCAAGGAAATATGGAAACTACTGATTATCTCAGAAGCATAATTCTGACAGTAGTGTGGATGGAACAAGATGGCAGAAGGCAAACAACAAAGAAAGGAAATGGATATTGTTATATCGAGAGGGAGAGAGGGAGAGAGACAGAAACTGATAGGAGAGACAACTGAAAAGCTGTTGAGAAGTTTTTCCCCTACCCTTTACAACAGAGCAATATTTGCTTGTGTCTGAAGTCAGAGGGAAAGGAGTTCCTTTACAAGAGAGAAAATACTGAAGACAAAGTCAATACCTTCAGGAACTGGGAAGGGAGGAGACAGAGGGCTTTGCTCATGATTTTGAATACAGTTATACTTCTGTATTATTTACTTTTTAAAAACTTTAAGATGCTACATATCTCAAATGGTTACTGTTTTTTTCTGCAATTCTTGCACTGACATTGGCTATTGTTACCCAGAAGCCCTGGCAGACATAAAGAATCCTCCATGATGTAGCCAGCTGTTTATAACAGAAAGTGTTCTTGAAAGTTAAGATAAATTCAAATGTAGCCAGTACGTTTCTAAGCCTTCCGGAAATATGCAATAGTAGAACTTGAACTTAAGCTTAGTTCACTAACTTGGTGGCAAACCCAAGACTTCTCCAAGCTGTGCTTTGATATTCTCTCCTTGAAATAAAAAATAAAAATGATGCCTTATTTATCTTTCAGGTATAGATCCAGATTTGCTGGTTTTTGAACAATCACGTCCCACATATCTAAATACCCGTTCCTCATCTAATACACGGGACAGACTAAGGATTTTAAAAGCTACGCATTTAGATGAACAACAAACCACAGTGATAAACCAAATGCTACCATCACCAGAGATGCCGTCATCAACCACACATCAAGATTTGGTTGTCAACACAAACAGTACTAGGTATTCCAAGGAATTAACCACAGACTCTTGGGCAAAATTCATTTCCCTGAATAACTCCATTACCACAGAGGTAAATATGGGGTCACACAGCACTGATTTCATCAATAATCCAGATAACAAGACTATTTCTCCTTTCTTTGTTCCCATAGACACAAAAGTTTTTCATAGGCCTATTCCATCCCGACTCAACAGTAGCAAGCAATTACTAAATAAAACCAAGGGGTCCAACAGCAGAAACCACACAGCTGAGAATGAAGACATGACACCTGATGGGTCATCTGTGACTTCAAAGATGTGGCTGGCTCCGGTGGCTCTCTGTACCTCTGTCATCTTTCTTTGCTGTTGTATGATCATCCTGGCATCTGGATGCTGGAGAAAGCAGCAGGGCCAGTATAAGCCAGGGCAGAGAAAGTCAGGGTCCAGGCATGTCGTAAAGGTAACACTCTAAAGAAGAACTCTTAATAGTAAAAGTTACAAGGAGATTTTAAGCTTTCAAGGGTATCGTTTTTTAGTTTCTGTAAGACAAGGGCTGTTTGTTTAAAAAAAATAATAATAATTGCACAGGATACCCCCCTTACCAACCTCTAAAAAAGGCCAAAATCTTCATAAACTTAACTGCTTTGATCATTTCTATTTTGTGAACTGTCTACCCTTTGCCAAAGTTCCAAAATTCTGACCCCTGCACTTGTTTAGCAGTGTGAGAGATATGCTTCTAAGTGCTATATATGTATTCCCTCATGGATATAATTTTATGAATTAGATATACTTTTTTTAATGACTACAGTATTATTATCACATTTTATAGATGAGGAAAATGAGAAGAGAGAGGCTATCTTCCCTAAAGTCATATAGCTTAATATTAGTGAAGGCAGGATTTAATAGATATCTGATTCAAAAGTTTATGCTGGAAATCACTTAGATTAAAAGCCTCCAAAAAAATGGAAAAAAAAGATACGGAGAGGAAAACACCATACATAACATCATATGTTTCCTGTCAAGGTCAAATAATTGTCATGTATGTTAATAAAATCTTTTAGTGGATTAGACAGAAAAGTGCTATTATTACAGTTACTAACACATGTGCAAATGCTGCCTTTTAAAAAAATTTAGTTTTGATGTTCAATTGATTAATTCTTCTCCATCCTAAACCATCTTCATTTTTTAAAGATGACATGCCTTTAACTCTGGTACTGGAATCTTTGAGTTTGTGTGGATCTCTGTTGAATAAAATTTGGGAGTTTTAGTTTACAGCCCTCACGTGTATGTAGTGTTTCCCCAGGTGCAAACATTAGCTGTAGGTATTTGAGCTCTGTCCAAATCTTACACGAGATCTACCCCCACCCCCATCCTGAAGTGCAGACACTTTAATTCAATCAAGTTTCCAGTGATTTTAAGCTTTAGGCCCTTAATCTAACCCTTGAAACTCCTTTTACATGTGAGGAGAGATACTAAAAGACAGCCAATAAGCAAGAAGAATAGATAAAAGAAAACCCTATTATAGGATTAATAAAATAGTACTGTTCTCACTTATGTTAAATAACAAACTGTCCAGTGGCTTAAGAGGTGTTTCTGTTTCTTTCCCTAGTGTTGATACTCTGTGGGGGAAAAATGTCTGTTTCTTTTTTTAATATAAGGAAGAAATATAAAAAATCTATATCAGTGGAATATTAGCCACAAATAAAAATCTGATTTTAAAAATGTCATCAACTTACCCTTATTTTTATCAATTTCTTTCCCAATTCATTAAGAAAAAAAATTATTCATATTACATAGGGAGGATATAAAGACTTAAATTACCCTAAAATTACATTTCAATAAATAATGCAGGAAGCAGTCTTTAAAAATTATTTGTACAATCTTTTAAAAGATTATTTTTCTTTAAAATATATGCAAGTTTTTATTTTATTTTATTTTTTATATACAAGCTTTTAAAGGTTTCCCAAAAACCAGGGCTGCTAGAAAAACGTTTTTCTTCCTTGGGGTTTCTTAGCATTTGCTCATTTCCTAAAATTGGTAGTTTTATAAAAATGACCATAATTTGAGAAAACATTTACGTTTGTAAGAAACCAAACTCATACTCCTCTTCTTCAGCCACTATCTGTGACCATCAGATAAACTGAAGACATTTATTAGACTGTAGATGCAACCAGACCAGTGTCAGCCAGGAAGCAAAAGTCGCCAAGCCTAGAAACCATGTCCTTCCTGGAAGCCACAAGGACCAAAAGAGAACTTCTGAATGGAATTTAAAACTTTCTTAAGAAACAATAAAAGATTCTCAAGGCCAACAACCAGTCAACAACCAAGGCCAAGATTGTTAAACTCAGTTGCAAAGTAACCATGATACTGAAATCCTCCCAACATTGTAACTAGCCAGACCTTTTTTAAAAAGTCTGTAACTGTCCAGGATTATGAAATACTTACCACTGTTGGGAAGGATATATGCAAAGAAAGAACTAAAGCATGTCACAATTAAGGGAACAGATTTATCCTACTTCTTAGTTGCCTATGTGTTTAAGCAACTTCTGAGTTATGTAATTTTAAGTTTGACGTCAGCAGTCAATCTGTTATCAATGTAGCAAATATCCCTTAGACTCCTTAAAGGATAAATATGATGTTCATTGTATATACTGGCTCAATTAATAGTTTAATGGATAAAGATCCGATTAATGAAAAACAGTAGTTTAATTATTGCTAAAATTATAATGATCATAACTGCTTTCCATCTGAGGCAGTTCTGTATTAATCTCACAGCTCTAAGATTTTGCCATTAGGTGTCAGTGTACAGCCTATCTTCAGGTCAGTTGCCTGGAGATACCCAAACTGCAAAGGCTAGAGGGTACAGTGCTCTGTGAGACACCAAGTATAAATTTGGAGCAGGGAGGTCTGTCTGAAAACCACCCTCAGGTTTGGTAATTCACTAGAATAATACACAGAACTCAAGGAAAGCTGTTATACTCATGGTTATGGTTTATCAGAGGGAAAGGATATGGATTAAAGTCAGCCAAGGGAAGAAGCACATAGAATGAAGTCACAGAGGGTTCCAAATTTATAGTTTCTGGTGTCTCCCCCTAGAGGCAAGATATGTTATTTTGCCTGTACCAGTGTATGGTAATATGCCCAGAGTACTGCCAGCCAGGGAAACCTGCCCAAACTTTAGCAGTTCAAAGATTTTATAGAGGTTCTATTGCAGGGGTATGACTGAGTGATTACCTGGGTGGTTGATCTCAGCTGCCAGGTGGACTGATCCCAGGTGACTTAATGCCCCTTCCTCTAAATCATGTGGTTTTGCCGGCATGGCTAAAACTGTCAGGTGTGGCCAGCCCCACCCTAAAATCCATTGTGACTGGCTCTCACCCTAAACAAAGATACTTCTATGAGGTATGACATAGATTACCTCCTAGAAGCTGCAAGCAAAGGCCAGACCTCTCTTTGGGCTAGGTCAGATTCTTTATTATATAACATTACCTCCTCTGTTTTATCTATTATTATAGTATTATTTCAACAAGATGGATGGCCCTAACCTACCATCTCTTTACATGTTCCCAAAGGATTTCTCCTCAACCTCTATTTTCAAAATGTTCCCTTCTTCAATACTGTTTCTACATCTGAAATTCCTTAAACTCCATGAATCTCTTAGAAATGTAACATTTCAATACACTTAAAGTATGCTTTTAATTTACTATTTTTTAATTTTTTTAAAAAAGATTTTATTCATTTATTTGACAGAGAGAGAGAGATCACAAGCAGGCAGAGACGCAGGCGGGGTGGGGGGGGGGAAGCAGGCCCCCGCCAAAGAGAGAGCCCGATTCGGGACTCAATCCCAGGACCCTGAGATCATGACCTGAGCCAAAGGCAGCGGCTTAACGCACTGAGCCACCCAGGCGCCCTAATTTACTATTTCTATGCAGTGGATTACAATGTATCTCTATTTTTGCAATCAAGGTCATATTATCATACTTAATAACATACAGATTCTTGGCCTTGCTAATACTAAATCATACCTTCATTTCATATAAATCCTTTGGGTAACTGTTTTCAAATTCTTTTTGGCTTTCATTTATGTTCTCTAATTCTGTTAGGCGAAATAAGTTTTGGACAAGTAACAAACTCAATAATTCCTCTATTTTAATTAACTTAACCACTTACAACTTTGGAAGTGGTAAGACATAATAGATAAAAATACTGAATTGACAGTTAAATTGAATGGAATGTTTCATAGGACAGTTCTTATTTTGTCATTTACTCCAATCAATTTCAAGGTCTTACACCTCATCTCTTTTCTGAGCTGCAGAAACTCTAACTGGGGAATCTAAAGAGATGAATACCAGTTAATCTCCATTTCCACTTTTCTGCAAGCATTGGTTTGGAGAAGTGAGCCCCAGAAAACAGAAAGGAGGATGCTAAACAGAGTTGAATTAACATAAAGTGAGCCCAAAAGAGAGGAATGGAGCAACCTTTTCAGATTAGAAAAATACTTCCAAGAACCTGTTTCTAATCAGAATTGGCATCTGTAGAAAAGGCATCGGGTGGACAGTAGTTATGTAAAAAAAAGCACTGAACTATATTCAGGGGAGTAGATTCTGGACTTAGCTTCCTAAATAACCAAAGTCATTACAGCTGGTCCTGACTTATTATGACTCACGATTTTTCAAATTTACAATGGTGTAAAAGCAGTAACATACTGAGGAAACCATACTTCAGATTTTGAATTTTGATCTTTTCCCAGACTAGTGATATGTGATGATACATTTTCATGATAGTGGGCAGCAGCAGCCAAAGCTCCTATCCAGCCATGTGATCATAAGGGTAAACAACCCATATACTGACAACCACTCTGTACCCATAAAACCATTCTTTCACTTTCAGTACAGTATTCAATAAATTGCATGAGATATTTAACACTTAATTATAAAATAGGCTCTGTGATAGATGATTCTGGCCAACTGTAAGCTACCGTTAAGTGTTCTGAGCATGTTTAAGGTAGGCTGAACTAAGCTATGATGCTTGGTAGGTTAGGTGTATTAAATACATTTTCAACTTACAATATTTTCATCTTAAGATGGATTTATTGGGACATAACCCCATCATAAGTTGAGGAAGATCTGGATTCAAAAACAACCAATAAGTGCTAATTTGTATGGAAAGAAATAGGAGATAAAAGAACAACATATGTATATACATGAATATTAAAGTGATGGCAGAAATAAAATTAAAATACTTTCAAACCAGAAGGAATCACACAGATCTAATCAGTTCTACTGCCACACCATACAAATAAGAAAATTGCTGAATAATCATTGCCATGATGCATTAGTACGAGAAAATATTTTAAATGTGATGTGGCTTCTAGAGTTAACATGGTGTAGTAAGGACCCTATGTTTGTCTTATCCTTGGAATTCAGCTAGATAGTTATCAAATCATTCTGAACACTTGCATTTTCAACCAGAGATCTGATAAAAGAAATGCTGCAATGCTACAAAGAGAAAAGTGGCCACTTTTTAGAAATATTGTCGTCTTTACTCTCTCTTTCTT